CATGGTCCTTGGTCGAGGGTCGGGGCTGGTCGACCTCATTGATGGATCGGTCCCTCGGGGTCCTTGGCCCTAGGTCTTTCTCCGTCTCCGTAGTCATGAGGTAGACCTTCCGTAGGTCACCGTCACTATCAGAACTGTCCAAACTGAAGTCTTCGGAAGTTGATCCTTCCTGAGTCGCTCGAACTGCATGGACGGAGCAGCGATTCAACTCCTTTGGCCAATCAAGGGTAATCGGTGCTTTCTGGCAAAACTTTCTTGACCCAAAGAACATCTTGCCCCGTCGAGCCTTAGCCCGTTGACGCACCCTCAGTACATCCTCCAACTCTTCCACATCAGCCAAACGTAACACGGTCAACTAATCCGCCAAGTCGGGGTCGTCCAAGGTCTCCATGTAGTGCTCGACATGTTCCTTTTGAATCTTGGGCGGCCCATCCTTGATCTTGATTTTCGCTCGAAGTCCAATGACATCCAGACGGTACAGATAGTCCAGAGGGAATTCATCCGACCTTTTCTTTGCTTGGTAATATTGGCGGGCCACTGGCACCCCCAAACCACAGAACTGCATCTGGAATTCCTGTATCAAATCCTTCCAATCTCTATGAATAGAACGACGTAGTTGGCGGTACCAGTTCTGAGCAGGTCCAGTCATTAATCCTCCAAAAACGAGACACTTTCCCCATCTGGTGCTTGGTCCCTCGTGAACGCGTTCTTCGGGCGTGCTCGGTCCTCATCTTGGTATTTTCCATGGAACTCATTGAGATCCAAGGTCGCTGAGAGCTTGATACGAGAAACCATGTTGAGTACCTGTCCCAGGGTGGCATTGGCCATTCTTACCAGAGGTCCATCGAGGTCCATGTCATCTGGGTCGTATTCACACGAACCGACCGATTCCATCTCCACGTCGGTCATCCCTTGATCTCTTTCATCTTGCATACCTGCACTTGGACCCAGCTGGGCCGTTGACCTCTGCGCCCTCTGTCGACCTCCGGCTTCATTCCGTCGATGTGTGCTTGCGGTACTTGGCGTTCTTGTAAGAATGTAGCCATCGTCGCGTCGAAGTATGCCTGTGAATTACCTACCGGGTTTGTAGGCACTCCAGCTTTGTCACGTGACGAGGTATAATTTGGTGCTGGTCTTGGCTCATTTTCTGATTGATTAAAAATTCGACCTATCAGAAGCCCGACTTTCCCTTTGCTGTACACAAGTGGCTGTTTCGTGAGCTCGCTGCTCGTCGTGCGCGCTTTCCGCTCGGGCTTGAAGCAGCGACATGCCAGTCGGTCTTTGTGTCATTCGGCTCACGTGACTAGCGACGGGCGACCCTCGCGATGCAGGTACCTGAGGACCCTGAGGCAAGGTAGTCTGTGATAGACCTCGCATAGACCATAGATACTCAGCCGACCATCGCTCTTGAGGGTGTACCTCGATGTCTTGCAGGGTCATCTGGCTGTCGCAGACGGTGCTTTTGCAGCGGTAGCAGGAGGTGAGTCTAGTAGTACTGGGGTTGTTCCCACCAGGATACCCGGACGTTTGTGTAGGATTTCTAACGTGGTCTTGATATTTTTTAAAAAAAATCTAGGGAAATCAAGTCTAGGCTCGAACCTTCCTGCCACATACCCACTTCGCGAAGAAGGGTCACGAGCGCGGTGATTGTGTCTGTCACCGTTATCAGCTTGAGAAGGGTCGACACAGGTCCACTGGGCTGGCCCAGCAGTCGGATCTCGAGTGCTCTGGTGACGGATTCACTCTCCAGGAACGTGTCAAGGTTGAGTCGGTGGTAGGCCATGGTCATGTCCGCATCCGCCCAGGACAAGGGTCCTGAGGTCGAGGGGCCTGCCGACTTGGTGTCACCTAGCTTGGTCGGCTTGGACATAGCGATCGTATTTTTTGTAGTTGTTGTATGTTCTTATTTTTGGCGGACAATGGTCTATCGGTTTGCACCTTCGACTGGTTGTCCTCTGAGGCATGATAAATATCATGACCCATGGTGTCCTCAACGAGGCCATAGGGAGAATATTTCGGTTTCCTTTCAATAAGTTCAACCTTGACCATATTGACTGGGCCCCTCTTAAGGTCCGGTCGGTCCTTCAATCCTTTGTTGTTTCCTTCTGTGGTCACTAGCGATCGGTCTTCCAAAGACTCTTTTGTCTTTTCCTCAATCTTTGCTTGAACATCCTCATCTTCTTGGGACTCGCGGTGATATCCCGCGTCTTCCGAAGATCCGGGCACGCGCACCATTGTGGTGGAGTGGGTTCTTAAAACTGCGTAATGAGACCCCAAGCCACTCACTGTGCCGGGCTGTCGGATGGGGTGCCCCGATGCCCCGTATAGACCTTCTCTCACCTTGTGCACCCGTCGGCTGGCGGGTTGCACTCTTCGGAGGACTTGGTTGCGATATAATGCCTGCCTTGAGATAGGTCGACCTGGGGGGGGGGGCCTCGAGTGGGTATACTTCACTCGGTAGGTGGGTAGGTGGCCACTCGGTCGACTAGGTTGAGGGTGAACTTGTAACCAAATTCTTCAGGGGAGATTCTCAACCCTGGCCTTTTCGTTCCTTCATTGATATCTCAGGGGTGCTAACCGCCTGGCCTTTACTTGCTCCCGGACCACTAGGTTAGAGAGACCGCTTCCGATAGCGGGTCGATTGGAGGCGCTACTCAGACGAACCCACAGGCCAAATATATCCTGGGGTTCTATTCGCACTTGGGTCTTACCACACAACTGTCTTCGACGGGGGGGGGGCAAGATGTATCCCTTCCCGGAACAGGTGGGTAGACTTAGTAAGTACCTTGGAAGCACGACGGAGGTGTGCTATGTAGATCGCAAACTGATTAGTATTTAATAGTCCTATCTTTTTACTTCTTTACTCTATCTTTACCCCGAGACCTGATTCTTGATCTGCTAGCCGAGAGACCGAGGAGTCCGGAACACCGAGTGGCCGAGGTCCGGGCGGCCGAGTCTCCAGGGGGGCCGAGTGTCCAGGGGGGCCGGGGGACCGAGGGGTCGAGGGTCCACCGACCGAGGGACCAGGGTCTACCACGAAAGTCCAGGGTCTACCAACTAGGGACCAGGGCCAACCTCGAAAAGGCTGGGGTCTACCTCGAGGAATCGCGGTCCATCGGACTAACCGTCTGAATGGAGCACCCTTTAACCGTACAATCTTCTCATCCAACGGTCGTCCCCCGTCCCTTTTTGGCGCCCCGTCCCTCTGTCCCTTACCTAACGGTCGCTCTTCCTTGGCGTGTCCCCTTCTCTTTGACTCACCAGTCCTCTGACCTACCAATTCTTGAAACGCTTTACTACACATATGCGGAAGTTGCGACGCTGCGTGCAAGTATGACGACGCGACCGTGTAATCTTCACGAAGCGCGAGGGCAAAGGCCTCCTCGAGAGTCTTCGGATCAGCACGTGTGAGTCAATAACGCGCCATGCCCTCCTGATACCGAAGACAAAGACATGTACTTGTGAGGCCATGTCGATCGGCTGTGTGGTAATACACGACACAAGATGTCGTGTCTTCTGCATGTAGTCAAGCACCGACAGCTTGCTCTGTCGAAGTTTGAAGAAGTCTGCACGCAATCGTGACTACCTTGATGAGGTTTGAACGCCAATAGTAAGTCGCGTTGGATATCATCCAACGTGGGGAACGCCAGCTCGTCGACGACGAGTTTCCCAAGAATAGCCGAGCTACTGTAGCCAAGCTACTTATGCACTACGTGCAGAGGAAGACAAGCTCAGAGAGCTTGTGTGTCTTAGGGCTCTTATCCCTCCCAAGGCTAGCTCGCAAGCTTATGCCTATCGGTTGTAAACAACCCAAGTCTCTATAGGGCCAGTATCAACAGATACAATTTTCTTTTACAAAGGAATGCGCTCTGGCAATATATGCTATACAGAGAGGGTTCTAAATTGATTCAAACATATGTTTACCTTCTAGCACTAATATAAAAACTCTTACTCTATACTTAGTGTTAGTCACTATTTACTGGCTCTGAAGCCTTCCTACTTTATACGCATGTGTATCCATAGTACTTAACTAAGCGACTTTCTTTTTACTCCCAATGTATCCAAAGTACAGCGACACCAAACTGGTGTGGCAGGTGTGTATGTTGTATACCGTTTTACAAGGTAACTAACACCGTTCATATGGTCGATTCCTTATTCCGCCCGCTGCTTCCAACAATCACTCCTCTGAGACGAAAGACAACGCTTTGGATCACCGACGACTGTTCGTTTTACTACTGGAGGTAGCATTGGCAAGAATGACAGTTTTGGGTGCACCTATGCGGATCTACCGTTGAAGCAAAATGAAGCTGACTTGACTGTTGGAAATACCGGAATTGTCGAAAAGCCAATTGATTCTGGACAACAGCAAGAGCAGAATCAATCTCAAGACCACTACTAACTTTGGTTTATCTCACCGAGGCTCATCCGTGGTATCGTGGTGCTTTGACAACGTGTGATTGATTTGTGAGAAAAATCTAGCAAGAATTACACCGGCACGGTATTTCTTCTAGGCATGAACATTGTCTTTGCATGATATTGACTCGAATGTGATGCACAATACAAGGTACGACTAGAGGTTTGCTTGTGCTCGTCATTGCGACTGATCATAGTGCAACGCGCTTGTTTGCCATTTTCCAACTGTGGGCTTATACGGAGATAGATTTTAATCTTTGGACATCTACGATTGCTGAGATTATGGGCTGAAAAGATGCTGCAAGTGGCTTACGGTTGTTTTGCATCCGCAACTTCACTAGCAGTGTATGCTTCAGAAGCAACTGGAGACTGAATGAGCTACTACCGTAGCTCATTTTGCTCATATTTACTTACATTTTGTAGGTATAAATTACTAGCAGTTGACTCGCAATTCATTCTACTGTCATTATTACAAAATATAAGTAAATAAATGCCTGTCATCAATTTTTATATTTCATGTACCTTACACCACATACCTTTCTTCTACATAATATTGTCATCATTTCCCATTAAGCCGCGTTCGTGTCATGTTAGACTTGTTATCACCTTTACGAGGTTATATTGCTCAAACCTTACAATTTTACTTGAGTAAATATATTGAAGACATTCAATTAGAAGGTCTCGGTCTTTTTGGTGGTGATCTCGTCCTTAATGACTTGAAACTTAAACGTCACGTCTTACGTGAGAGCCTTGAAATTCCATCAAGTTTTGATTTTTCACGTGGTTTTATACGAGAGCTTCGGATACAAATTCCATGGACACAATTATTATCTCAATCAATTGCAATAAAGCTTTATACTGTTGAGCTTATTCTAACAGGAAAAAATGAGGATGAACAGAGCGTCACTCGAGATGGAATAGTTGCCACACTCGTTACTGATGGAAAAGAACAACAGGAGAAGATTGAACACCCAAAGTCCGGATGGATTTATGACACATTGCAGAAAATTCTGGCAAATGTGAGTGTTCAATTGAACAACCTTGTACTCAAGTATGAGCATGATGATGTTGTCTTTTCCATTACTCTAGGGGTACGTTCAATTTGCTTTAAAGTTACAGATGAAGATGAAGAGGAATACGAAGAGGAACTAATTTGTTTTGTTTTAATGCAGACTCTACACGTTGATTCTGCTTGTGAAAAGAATGGGTGGAAACAAAATTTTGAAGAACTGAAAGGAGGACATCGCGTGATCTGCAAAAGGATTGATGCCAAGGACGTAACCATTTTCTTGGATAGGTATACGAGTGATGGGCATCGAAACCATGGCATGAAGCAGGATTCAGTGCGGCGAAACGTAATTGGATACGAGATGCCTGTGCTTAGCCGAACATCGGTTTCCATTCGAGCCAAGTTGCAGCTTTTTACCAGTGTCGCGGCAAACACCCAGGATATTTGCAGGAGCAATTTCAGCTCTTCTAGGTCTCCCGTGCGGCGTGATATTGAAGGTAGCGTTATTGATGTGGATGGATTGTTCAAGTACAGACCATCTGTGATGTGCGATCCGTTTTACTATTACTCGTGCAGCCGCTCACGTGTGTCACCCATGTACGAGGTGGATGTCTTTATTGGCGAGCTATTTTTTTCCGTCAGCGATCGACAATTAGAGATGCTGAACCAACTTATCAAGTGCGCAAGCCTCAAGATGGACCAAGCGCATCACGAATCACCTCAAAAACAAGATTGCCATTGCGCAGCAAGCGTTGACAATGAAGCAAAAATGTGCTATCGTCCATCGGATAATTTTACGATTCCACATAACACAAGTCACGCTGAAGACCAAAAGGTGAACGAGTCGACTAACAAGCAAGAATCCTGGTTCGGCTGGGCGATGAATGCTCTGCGTGCAACTGAAGACGAGACAGAAGACGAATTAGTTTCAGAGCTGCTCGCAGAAACGAGAGGGGCGATGTTGCTGAAGGTACAAGAGCGAGACAGTAATGTTGATGAGGATCTATTGTTCGACAATGACCCAATTATGAAAACTTTGTGTGCGCGACTGTGCGTCAGCACTGTTTCTTTAATACTACGCAAGCACGGAAGTGTGGATCAAGCAAATGAGCACGAAGAAGACATCACACTCTTTGAGAGCGGAGAAGAGCTTGTGCCGGTTGCAAACCTTGGCTTGGTGAAGGTTATGGCGCAAAGAAGAAAAAGGGAAATAGCACGACCAGCTGTGCCCATTCTCAGTATATCCTTGAGTCACGCAGCCCTTGAAGTGTTGTTACCATGGGGAAAGAACAAAACAAAACAAAGTGAAATGGATTTGGTTTTTGAAATTGCAAAGGCAGAGCTGGCGTCGGCTACAGTTAGCGATAATCGAGAGGGCTCGAAGTGCAAAAAAGGCCAGGTACTGCTCACATGGGGATCAGTTGATGAGGCTCACTTCTGCGATTGCGTCTCACACCCATATTTTGCCAACTCCTTCTTTGGTGAGGAGATGACACGGCTGAATCAGCGTGAAAAACCGAGCTTTGAACCCGTCAAAGCAAGTCTAGATTCTGGCATTTGTTTTAAAGAAGCGCTGAAAGACAGTACAAACGCGGGAGAGACAGTAGACTTTTCGTGTGACTGCTTTACAACATGGAATGGAGAAAGAATTCATTGTATTCCAATTGCCACAGTGTATAAGGTGTGCCACGATGCGATCAGATGCATTGGAATCAAGGAGCGATTCATTGACGACGGGATTTTATCAAACGCCGTGTCCAGTGCTTGGGCTTCTAGTGGCTTTCGTATCTCGATTTCCGAAGGAATGACCCGTGATTTCATCTCAGCCGCTGATGAGTACCGCGCTTACCGCAATCCAGATGTTGGAGCTATGGATAATTTGATGCAGCTTCTTCAGCCTCATTTGGCCATGCTATTATCTCGTTACACGCTTCATTCATGTGCAGCATCGTCACCTTATGCATTCTCTCGCTCCACCAATATCCGGCACCGAAGTGTTCACTCGGCGCTGCGCTTGCGCTTGGCATTTACGTCAGATCTCATTGACCATAATGAATCGTCGCGTAACGTACATATAAAGGAGGAAAGAGCCTGTAAGGTGTTGGACATATCAATTAGCGATATTGATGCTGTCTTGGAGCCTTCAAAATGTTTGGAGATAATGGAAGCATTGTCAATATTTCAGCGCAGGAGCGAAAATGAGGAGGGCAAGACAGGAATGATGGGTACTAAGCTTTTACCACCAGTCACCGTCTTTGTGACACCGAATGTGCAGTCTGTTATTAAAAGTGACGTCACATTGTTTACGATAGGCAGTGTCCATATTCGACTGCCTAATCAAGCAGTAGAACCAGAGCAGGATGAATTGGAACCAAATTGTCGTGGTGATTTGAATGTGACTGCGCGCGACTTTGTGTGGCTTAAAGCTTTCCATCCGGGTAATAGTGAGAACCATCTACAGCTTGGCGCTTCGTTCGCACATATGGGGAGACTGCATAAAAACACCACACCTAGCATGCTGGTAGAAGCGCTGGGATTGGATGTTATGATGACCAAAACCTCTGGAGGTGATAACGATGGTGTCTTCACCAGATTGAACAAGCTAAAGGTTAATTTAACTATGTCTGTCGCTCATTACGTTGCGTCATTGGTAAACAACTTATCAAGTCCTCTCGGATATCCAATTGCATGGCTACCATTAAGTTTGACATCAAAGACGTTGCGAACGACATTTCAAATTGAAGCGTGCGGAACTACTTTATCCAGGATAGTTTCCAATCGACCCAGACTATTAATGGCTCAGCGTCAGTCACTAAGCGCTGAAATTGCATCAGTGAGCGTCAGTTTAATCAGGATAGGAAGCAAATCTGAATCTTCGCGCTTGGTCCTGCAAGGCGGCGTTGCTCCGATGGTACTTCGCGGATCGAAGTTTAATGCTTTTTTGTTCAAGCTTGACATTTCCCAAGAAAAATCATCGGGTGTACTGCATCATGTACCGCTATCTCACTCGCTCGGCCTATTCTCCTTAAATCCCGGGTCAGATTTAAAAATTTGTACTCATTGTCAAATTGCCGTCAATGCGCAGCTTGCCCGAGTGTCTGTGGACGTGCAAGGTGTATTGGAGCTTGTTGGTGCTATGTTAGGTCTTGCACAAGGTGTTATGGCAGATTTTCTACCTAGAATCAAGTTGAACTCTCCAGATGATGATTCTGAGCTGAAAGCACAAGAAAAGGATTGTATAGAAACGGCTTCAACGGGGTGGAGCTTGACAATTGATCTGAAAGCTGCCGGTGGGGATATACGCGTAAACGAGGCACTTCAATTAACGATGCCGTTAGTGTCGGTATCATCGGTGGAGATGGACACAGGGCTATCGACTCAAGCAAAGCCTGGTGGAGTTCTTAAGATCGAATGCATAGTGAGGGAAGTTACTGTAAGCGTATCAGAAAGCGGTGTCCTCCAGGGTCTTGAAGACCAGAGGGTACTTAGCATCCAAGACGTTCGCCTTGCAGTGGATTTCTCGCACAGTTTCGTTGATTGCCGTCATGCGAGTACAGTTGATATCTCGCTTTACGTTTCGACTATTCAGGCGTCATTATCTCGACTGAAGGTGCGCTGCATTGAATGCTTCCGATACTCCATATTACTATTTCCTAATTCTAACGCTGCGTTGCTGTCTGTGTAAAGGTTTCATATCTTTTAAAACTTCCTTTCGTTAAAGTAGACACTCAGGCAAGAAATCGATCATTTGCTCAAACTCCTCAGTCACAAAAGAAAGACGATTACAAGATTGGCAGCGGAGCTGCTACGCGAAGTCAGTGGCGTTGGAACTTAGGTGTCCAGTGTGACCATGTCGGCGCTTCTTGTACTGCCGATATTGGCCACCAGTTAGCGGACCGAAGTCAACAAATTCGGGCGGTTGTAGACAGCAAGGTGTTAAACATTGCTGTAGCTGCACGTATTGGCAATTACCATCCTATTAAGAATCAAATTCAACCAGCAGCAGGATGCGGTAGCTTTACTGATATCCAGGCATCAATCGGCGATATTCAAATTGTGGAGAGACTTCACAGTGCTGAGCGAGAGGTTTGCACTGCTTTTGGTGAGTTTTCACGCTTACCAGAGCATGCCTTTCTAGGCATCTTGGTGTGCCTAGATGTGTCTGATTTGAAACACTTATTAGAGACATTCAGTGTTTCACGTACCCGTACTATCGCACTAGAGGAGCAAGCACTACATTCTCCAATCCTATCGTGGTATTTGACAAGTTGCATTGCCAGAGTGTTCCAGGAAGCCAATGCTGAGCGGAAACAAAGAGAAGCCAGTATAAAGTGTCCTACTGCAGAAATCCCTCTAATTATAGCCTGGAGTGATCGTGCACAACCCAAGACTACTCACTCTTTCCCATTACTTTCGGGATTTTATCGCAATTATAGTGAGGCTGGTCTTCCTCGACATGTCGTTGCGGGCTCTGTGGAGAGCGTGGACGTTGCTGTAACAACATCAAGTCTGTATTGTCTTGCTTCAGTGATGGATGTGCGCGGTAAGATGCCGAACTCATTTAAAGTAAGCGCTAGAGCCAAAGAGGCTCACAACGATTTTAAGTTGAGAGCTCAAACATCACCTGGTACGGTCGACCAAGGTGCTTTGGCGGATATGGAGGTGTCGCTTTTGTGTGGTCAGATTCGCCTGATCCTTCCGAGCGAAAGCACCAAAGATGCTATCATATTAGCACGGCCAGTGTCTGGGAATATTTTGGTCGTTATGGAATCGTTGTCGGTGGTATCTGCCGTCCGAAGTGAGATTTCGCTAGAACGATTGGGATACCCTCCATTTAATGCTAGAGTACTACCGAGGCGACCTACAGTTCAAGCACAACGATTTGGTCAGTCGCAGATGCGGATTGGCTGCAGAGCCGGCAAGATTTCTGGGTTTGTTGCCAAATTGCAATTTGGTCAAGCCGTATCTACTACCACCGAAATGGTTGTAGGAAAAGGCCCATTTGAAGACTACATCGGTCATGTGTTGGGGTATCCGGCATATTTTTTGGATATGGAGACATTCTGGTTGCCGCTTAACGTAACATGTAGTCTTGAAGAGGAGCCTTTTGCTGCGAACGAAGTTGACCAAACAAGAATGAAATGCATTGCTACTGTTGCTTTGACCAAGTTTAGACTCGACCTACGTAAACCAACTTATGACGTATTGGCTACTCGCATTCTGGCATTCAGTCGAGGTATCAGTGTGTTAAGCCGATCTATTGTACCACCATCACAGACACAGCTGAAGCCAGTCGAGTTTACGGAGTCGCAGGAGCCATTTTCAGTGATCGAGCGTAAATTTCAGCGAGAAGTATCGCTCTCCTGCGACGGAGTCGAGGTGAATGTGTTTGAAACGAATGAATCCACTCATGTTCGAATCGGAGCCATCACCCTTCGACACAACATCTCGACACTTGCTGGTAGTGCTTCCATTCAAAATTTAGTAATGGGTCGTCGAACAATTGAAGGTGCACAAAATTTGGCACACAATCACATTGCTGTGGAGGATGTGGTCTTTGGGGCAAATGCGGAGCCAAGCTTGTGGCAACTATCTGTAGAAAATTATCCTGAAAAGTTGATTGTTGCAAGGTGGAATTTTGGTGATCGCGTAGAAGGAACACTATTTGTTGACGTGCAATCGTATCAGCTTCACGTATCGCATCACTTGATTCTCGGGCTGTCTTGCTTCGTTCATGTAAAACCGACATATTTATTCTCGGAATCTTACCGAGAAGTGAGAGTTGATAAGCAAGTTAAGCTACTTAAGCATCCGAAACCCTTCGTCTTACATCCAAAATGGAATATTAAGGTCCTTGTATCTCCTGGGGTGATGTCGTACTGGACAGAAAATCCTATGAAAAGAGAAAGATCAGGTGTTTGGTTGACGTCTGGCCAACTTTTTGTGAGCATTGGGATTGGAAGTAGGGACAAAGTCCAGCAGTCACTACTTACGTGTGGACAAACTGTTAACGAAATTACCCGATTTGTCGACGTGCCCACAGTTGAAGCGATGATAACTATTGACAAGCTTGGTATCAACACCTCCAACGACTTGCCTCTTCTGCAGGTGCGCTATCAAAATAGTTCAGTTGCCCCAATTCCTACTTCCAGCACCTGGCTGCAGTTTTCGAAATACATCAGTGCTGTGTCCGAGACTCAGCAGCTGCTGCAAAACTGCAGCGTTCAAATTACTGGAGTGCAACATCAAATACTAGAGCGAGTACTTGTTGAGGAAACGGAAGTCTGTTTACTTTACACAGACATGGCGCGTCTTAGTATTCAGGCGGAAGCCAGTACTTTGTGCGTAAAGGTTTCATCGTCGTCGCTAAAAACGATACAATCATTGTTGACGGTACATGCTGACCGCAATGAACAATGCGACAACTCATCTCATCGTTCATTAGGTAGTACTCGAGAAATTTTCGCGAGTGAAACCTTTATTCCTCAGAGTCATGAACCAGAACAATTAGACAGATACTCCGGCGATGATTTTAAAATGTTGAGACGGGTGACAGAAGGTCGACGACCTTCACCAGGAGAACTGGTGTTTACGGAGGCGATTTTGATTGAAACTCAGGGCATGTTTTCGGCTAATTCTTCCCCGATTGCGGGCATGAATGTTCAGATTCAGATTGATCCTAACAAATTTGACATCAAGTTGGCTGATGTGTTAGCATATCTCAAGGACTGTAATGAGCCATGGACCGTCGAAGATCATGAACTTGGTGGAGAGCGGTCATTCTTCACGGGTGTAGGTAGTAAAACGCACAGCTGGATGGGAATGCGCTGGTGCTACCACATACCACGCAGAATTTGTAAGATTGAGGCTAGTCCTGTGCCCATTCCGCCTACTGGAGTCCCGAATGGCTGGCCGTCGTGGAGATGGAATCGGGGGCATAACGATGATATAGGCCGACTTTGCGACATTTTCTGTCAGTTAAGGTGTTGGGATAGCAGAAGAAAATGCTATGCTGTCATTAGCGAATTTTATATTCCGTGGGAACTTGCGTTGACGAATAAAAGTTCAGGTGAGTCGGATGATGGCAATGAAGTAGGAAGTTTTGGCGAGTTAATGAGTCAATGGTTTGACGATGGCATGGACGAAGCACAGCACCGATCGAAAATGCTCGAGTTCGGTGCCCGGCCAAGGGTGTTTCTATTCGACAGCGATGTTTCTTCAGATAGCTGGGAGCTAAGATGGAGAACTCCGCTAAAGAGTGAGCAGGAATCTGAGGTGCGTATAAAACCAGTGGCTGCAATGATGCTAGAACTGATCTTATTGTGTGCGCATTTTGTAGAACAAGCAGAGGCGTCTCGTGGTGAACGCCTTGCTTGCTTCATCCCTGCAGGTGAACTCTCTTTTAATACGTGACGCCTACCAACGTGTGGTTGCAAGCATCTCGCTTCCACAAATTGTGCTATCTGTCACCTACGCGGACTCTCGACATGACTCTCACGATATCGTCACTGCTGAGCTCAATGATACCGTAATTTCTTGCGTGATATCTGGTAGCTATCACAATAGGACGCTGAATGCACACTTATCTTCGTCGATGCAAGCATACATTGATAACATAGCTCAGCTTCTTACTGTATCGGTTCTCCCGCAAACTTCAATTGACGTCATGACTGAGATTTCTCCGGCGGGCCTTGAGCTTTCTACACTGATTGGTCCGGTTTGCCTATATCTGAACCAGACGACGATGTTGGTGATATCTGCAATCCCAAAGCTTCTCCAGGCGGATTGGATACCTTCGTATTTTATCGGAGCGACACCAGATGAAAGACTGGCTAATATGCGCATAAGGATCGTCAACAGCGTAGGAATGGATATCTGGTATCGACAGGAAGGTACTTCAGAGTGCTTACTTCTGGCTACAGACACAAGTGCGGCATATAGCTGGCTTTCACTGGCAAACAGCCCATTTTATCAGCTTTGCTTTGCTATGGACGATCCAGGCCAGCAGCTAAGTAGATTACGTACTAGCAAAAATAAGCAAAGGAAAAGCAAGCAGCCAACGCGCGAGGGCCCACGCTGGTGCGATCCGTGCAGGATCAAAGAAAATGCAGTTACTGGCCGATATTTTAATGGCCGCGGCTTCTTGTGGATTTGTGTGGAACTGAGCGGTTTGCAGACAATCGTCACACTTCGTGCATCGCTAATTGTCAAAAACTACTGCGGCTTTCCTGTGCTGACTAAGTTAATGAATGAGGAGGCTTTGGTAGTTCATTGCAAAAGATTGGACAACCTTTTCCCAGATACTCACACGCTTTGGCGAGGCCACTCTAATTGTATATCATTGGACGGATCGGAGTGTACTCTTTCTGCTACTGCAAAAGTAGATGATGGCACAGCCCGAGTTATGCTCGAGTATGTAAAATCTGCTGCGTTTGGCATTGATGGTGGTTCTTGGTGCAGCGTGTCAACACAAGAAAACGTCCCCAATGAGTTTGACCTTGTGAAAACCTATGACGACCAGGCGGAAAGCTTGAAGAGAACGCAGTGTAGCTTTGCAGCTCTCACTTCCAAACACTCCACTCAGTACGCCTGGGTCATGATTACTCGTGCACAATGCAGGACCGTGCTGCCTACGGACTTTGACCTACTGCAACCGCAGGTGTCGCGGCGATACACATGGATGGAGATTTCATTGTGGCCTGCTATCAGTGTGGAGAATATTATGGATATTCCGATATTGCTTTCCTTATCACAGAAGGTAACATTACAGCATCCTTTGTTTCTTACGGGGCGTGTACTGATGAGTTGTTGCTGATTAGACCACTACCATCAAGTTAAAACTTGCTCCGTCAAGTAAAGAGTGTTTGTCTGCAATCAACCCGTTTGAATTAGTAGATGTGAAACTGCAGTATGACCAAAGCTATACCATGACACAAGTCGCTCCGAAGCCACAAGCATTTTCATTGGAATGCATCGCCAATAAAGATACGAAGGAGCAGATTTTTAACGGTGAGGGATGCAAAGTGACTGTGAACTTTTGCAACGACCGTTGTCCGATGGTCCAAATCAGAACAGAGCGTATTCTTACTGTCGCCAACATGACGCCGAGCGTTTTGACCATTGGTATTGATAGTCCTCTTGTAAACCAACGATCTGTGGAGAAGATTGAGTCGTGTGTGGAACGGTCCGTTGGTTTCTCAATGATCAATAATTTTTTAATGATTTCGCTCGCAACTGCTACAGACTCAAATACCGAGTCGGATCAGATGGAATGGTCTCCAGAAGTCTTACTTAATGTGAAAGGTGATACGAGACCGATTGTTATACCATTTACAAGGAACGGGCTTACGAGTTTGGCCAGTGCTTATTGCATGGAGATGGTGAATTCAAATGGATACCTGAAGCTTATTATCCGTCCACAAGTCGTGGTGATCAACTCAACGGTATGAATGCTCGCGACATATCAATGTTTGATGATTGCAAAACTCACTTGTCCCCATCATGTTTAGAATTGTGCTCTCATGTGCGTTCCTACTGACAGCCAGAGTGGCACAATCATAGAGAAGTATGAAACATCGGTGCGTGTACGCCGCAGTAATGCTCGATAATGTCAAAATATAAATATTGTGCTAATAGTCTTACCATTGCTTGTTTGATCAACAGGTTATCGCAGGCAATAATGCTGGATGGTGTGTGCCTGTTTGTTTACACAAAGAGACAAAAAAGAGAAGTATTACTGCCGATGTATCGTCGTGGTTGAGGTCGAAATTATCAAGTCAGTCAAGCGAGGACATGTCAACCACCCTGAAGCATGCCCATGTGGTAAAATTATCTTGCTCATTTCGGCTGAGTCTAGTGGAAGATGGATATGTGTGGTCAGAGGAGATATCGGTTCTGATCCCGCAAATATCTCTTCTACTTTATCCAGGTGGCAAATTGAAAGTGGATGAGGCGCCATTATCGTCAACATTACCATCAAACACTAATGATTTGTATCCAGCTTCCTCGACAACAACTCGTCGGAGGCGTTTGCTAATTCGCCATCGTGACTTCAGGCACAAAATGCTGACGTACACAATGACACAAAAAGGAAAATCTATTCACATTCTGTTTTTTGTGGATCACCAACCGCCTGTGGTAATCCACAACCAGTGGCAAAGACGATTGGGTTTCCAAAATGTGTCATTTTCATCGGATCCAGAAGGCGTTGGCGCTAATTTCTGCCTAGAATACGATTGGAGTCTACAGGTACGTTTTCATTCGTTAAACCACTACAGCTCCTATCCAGGTCTTAGTTTGTGTGATTGTATTTAGGTGTCGTCAAAGCAAACGAGGCCAAAACGAAAGCCAGTGGTGAGGAATTCGGAGAGCAACAGTAAAGATGCTGATGCGGATTACAGATTATTAGATGATTGGCTAGAAGCTTCACGGTCGTTCAAGAAAGCGGACATGTCAGGTACAGCAAACGACGACCGTACACGTTTCCAGATTGGGCTGCCACAATACGGATGGTCTAACGCGCTTTGGCAAGTTAGTGGAATTCAGTTCGCGTCGTTCACTAGTGAGAAGGGGGGTGTAATGGATACACCAACGCTTACTTTCTTAGTTATGTGCTCTTATCGGGCAGGGTCATGGTTGATAACAATAACCTGTCTTGAGGATCCAACACGAAAAGGTCATGCGAGTCGAACAGCACCGTTAGTGTTACCTTCAATGTTATCACCGTCAGAAACGCTGCAAATTCTGCCGACGTTTTTGAGAGTTGGTTTGGTCGTGGAGGAGCTTTCTTTTCATTTCTGCGACGAATATGACCCTGTGCGCGATGATCGAGGAATAATCTTGTACCCGGAGATAATACAAGCGACCTGCAACACAGTGTCGATTGTGTTTGTAACGGCTCCAGACCCACCTGAAGCTTCCCGTCACAGTACACGCTTGGGTTACTTGTCACACGTTCGATCGTACACGACGCTTTTCATTTCGGTTGAGGATGTGGAAGTGAGGCATTTTTTACAAATCTGCAATTTTCCAGTGATTCTTTGCTTCCCCAAAAACACTCGTGAATCGAAAGAATTGGCGCAGATCGATCGCGTAGAAAAGCACGAAAGTCTGAGAAGTCTGACGAGCAAACTACTTGATGAGCAAGTACCTAGAAAGGAGAATGCTTGCTTACTTTTTAGGGTTATTTACGCGGATGCGTGGAACCCGGTTGAAATTCCGTCTTACTTCCACAGTATCGAGTTGCATTTGTCTCCGGTTGTCCTCCAGGTACGAATGAGTACTACTACGATAAATGTCTGGTTTCTAACGATTTGTGCGCTTAGGTGGAAGATAACATGTTATTGTATGTGACCGCATTCATTCGACCAATGCTTGACGCCCTAGAAGGTGAATCTGCTTTCGGCTTAGTGTATTGTACCATTGATAAGTCGGGTTTAATAACTTCTCGCGAGGATATCTGGAGCTTGCATGCGTACGAATCGGCGGCGATATCGAAACAGTGCAAAGTGTATATAGAGCACTTTGAAATCAGCAACTTGGATGTCACTGTCACCGCACGCATGGCAATTCCTGTACTGAATAGTTTTGATGGCACACCACTGCATTTTGAATCGACCAAGATGCGCAACGTGTTTTCGTTTCCCGACCAGCTTTACAAGGATTTGGCAGCAAACTACGTTGCCGACACGATTGTCCGCTCTCCGATTCTTCTAATGTCGTTAAACATTATTGGCAACCCAGCGTAAGCTTATAGACTCAAGATTTTGTGGTTATAAGCTATGACTGAGATTTGACATGTCATTTTGTGCTGCAGGGGCTTTCTAAGGAGCTTTAGTCAAGGAGTTCGAGATCTCGTTGAGATACCATTAACTGCGTCAAGAAATGGGTACAGTCCATGGGTACTCATAAAAGGCGTCATGGGCGGTGTTGCCTCCTTTCTGGGTCATACCGCAGCAGCAACGCTCACATCCGTGTCCGGGTTTTCGTATTCCATCTCACATACAATGGATCAGCTCACATTGCCATCGGATCAGCTACGGAAGCATCATTACACCCGGCCAAGTCATTTGTCATCTGCTCTTGCTGATGGGTTGGGTTCACTGGGATCGAGCGTGGTTGGTGCAGCAGCAGGAGTGATTACTACTCCAATTGCACTGTACAAGGAACGCACAAGGCAAGGTCTTAGCACCGGAATTCAAAGCATTGCAAGCGGCGTTGGCATGGGGCTGGTGGGTATTGTCGCCCGGCCTATGGGTGGTGTAGCATCACTTGTGTCTATGGCTTCAGATGGGTTGCTATACGGAATAAATGGTAACTGCACGCCAGGCACTGACTATGTCTCGCGATTTAATGCGCAACCTAATGAATTGCTACGTTACAAACTGAAAGTGCTACCAGACGCAGTTGGAAATAGTTTGATTTTTGCTCATGGTATTTGGACACTTTTGAATGAGAACAAGCTGGTCGTCTCCGGCCAGAGCCTCGAGTACATAACTATGGAGCAGTTGGAAGCCTCCGAGAATGAACTGCTCCGCAGCGTATTGCTTCCCGGCGATAAGGCACGCCATCTAGTCCAAGTGACTGTTGTGTGTTCGAAGGACTGTCTGTATGTCGTGGGAACAAGTGGTACGCAAAATCAAGCCGTGTTGGCCCAAACACGATTGGAATCAATTGAAGCGGTCGAAGAGAGTCTCAGAGAGCCAACTATTTTTGATTTGGGTGTAAAGACACCGACGGGCGTAGAGTGGCTGCGCTTCCGTCTTCCGCCGCGCCAAAGACGGCTATTGAGCCACCAGCTGCGGCTTTGGCTGGCTGGAGATGTCGTTTTGTAATGTGGCTTCTGCTCTATAGAGAAAGAAATCTGTTGGGTCGAGTCTTTATTGCGTGGATACTGTACAAGAAGACTTCTTTTTTGACCTTATCTACTCTCTCTGCTTAGTTTAGTCTGATAATGTACAATGACTGTTTCTTCTCCGCTTTGTTCGTAGTTTACTATCATGTTGAAGTTGACATTTCCTGTGACTATGTGATCAATTGTGAGCTCTATTGTACCTTAGAGGTATGAGCACAATAGATATGTTGTGTCGGCAGTGTGATCAAATTGCCGCGAGCAAAGAAGCGCAAGTTGGCTATTCACATTTCTAGAATATTAAGCGTCATGCCCGCTTAGTATTGACTGCTGATGTGAGTTTGTCAATCATCGCGCCATCAAGCTTCCACTTCTTCCACCTGATAAGCAAGTGCCACCAAACCAGCTAGCACTTAGCAGAGACAATTTCAGCCTGCGATTTCTATTTTACCGCTTGAGATGTACCGAGTCGCTGCCGCCCAAAGTAATAGATGTGTCTATCTTGGGGCTAATGAACCATTGTCAATAACTGGCAAATTTTAGCATTGCGCTGGCCAACGGAGCTCTAGGGTAACCAGGAATGAAAAACTTTGCGACCATACGTTCTCTTCCTGTATAAATGTGCACTACAGATCGCACATTGATGGTAAAGATAGCTACATGGTTCGTGTTTTAGTCTTTTAAAAGCCGACCCACAAATTCTTGTGATCCAACACGACTTTTCAATTTCTTTTCTTGCATGTGTAACTTGACAATGTCGTGAAAAGAAGTAGGTGGAGAATGAACTTCTTGGTTTCTTTACAATATACGATTTAAAGGCCACGAGTCTGTGCACCCACCCACACAGCGGAAGTCCATCTCTTGACAATGGAGATTTGCCAAGCTTGTCCAATTTACTTTTAATGATCACTTTCTAATCGTCATACAAAGCAATCTTAGCACACCTTTGCTTCCTTTCCAATTGCTTAAGGTACGCTTCATTACCGCCGCAAGAATGCTTTTCAAAGTATGCCATCACTTTGTACGTAGTGCAGCCAAGGGTGCGGCAGTTGTTTCAAAACGATTGCCACTTGCCCATCTATTCTTTGTCGCCTCGACCAGCTGCGGAATACCGGCAGATACCGGTATGACCTTCACTCAGTAGTACCGCAATCATTCCTGTGATTATGGGACAATGTTTACGCCATACGTGAGTACAAGATTGTGGGTACATGATGGGATCTACGTGGCACTCGCTGATTGGCTGAAGTAACTCAGTATCCAGTAAAGAATCCAGTAGAGTGTATCCAGTAGGTAGGACAATAGGCTTAGAGGTAGCAAGTAGCTTGTGAACTAAGGACCTAAATCAATCACTTTGCATTTTGCACCAAACTACGAAAGTGACCTTTTCTTTAGGTTATAAGCCCTAGCCCCGCAGACTCTGCCCCCGCCTTCAACTCCGACTTCGCCTACGCCATGGACACCTCCGCTCCGACCCGAATCAACAAGTTCGACGGAACTAACTTCCACACGTGAAAGTTCAAGATGCAGATGGTGCTCGAGGAGCGCGATTTGTGGGAGATCGTGAGTGGAGAGGTGAAGCTGGAGCACTGCGCAACCGTTTTGGAACAAACGGGGTTCAAGAGGAAGTCGCGCAAAGCGCTCGCAATCATCTGTCTCGCAATGGAAGACTCGCAGCTACCATTGGTCCGGTCAGCTAGTGACGCGCATGATGCATGGTCAAGACTGGAAGGACACTTCGAGAAGAGGAGCCTGGCCAACAAGCTCTTCCTTCGTCGACGTTTCTTCACGACGATGATGGACGAAGGTGATGATGTGCTGGAGCACATTAACAAGCTCAAGACTCTGGCGGAGCAGCTCGACGCGGTCGGCGCTCCGGTCAGTGAGGACGACTTGGTGATCACGCTTCTTGGAAGTCTGAGTGAATCGTACCAGTTCCTCATCACGGCGTTGGAGTCGAGAGCTGACACGCTGACATGGGAACTCGTGACGTCTCGGCTATTACATGAAGACATGAAGCGCAAGGAACAAGGTGGCGGTGCCGAAGGAACTGCGCAAGGTCAAGCGTTCATGACTAGTGACAACAACAAGCGCAGAGGGCGTCCGGAGAAGAAGAAGGTCGGAGCATGCAACTACTGCGGCAAGCAAGGACATTGGATCGCAGAGTGTCCTTCGCGGATCCAAGACAACAACAACAACCGACAGCGGTCACAGCGTGCGAATGTGGCGCGCGAGGACGAGGATGCCGGTGACTATCTCTTCTCGGTTGGTGGTGGGAGCAGCGCCCCACCACCAACGGCATCGACTATGACGAGACGTTTGCACCAGTGGCCAAGTTCACATCGATCCGAATCGTGCTCAGTTTAGCTGCGAAGTACGGACTCAAGTTGCACCAGATGGATGTGAAGACTGCGTTCCTGAACGGTGAGCTGGATGAAGATATCTACATGGAGCAGCCAGACGGCTACGTTGATGAAGACCATCCGGACTACGTGTGCAAGCTCAAGCGTTCGCTGTACGGACTAAAGCAGTCGCCGCGCATGTGGAACCAGACCATCGACGATTTCATGCTGAAGATGGAGTTCGCCAAGTGCGAGTCGGATCACTGCGTGTACGTCAAGCGGGAAGGCGACGACATGATTTTCGTGGTGCTCTATGTGGACGACTTGATCATCGCGAGCAGTAATGACGAGCTGATGAAGTCGACCAAGAGTGCTCTCAGCGATAGGTTTGAGATGACGGATCTCGGCGAACTCAAGTACTTCCTCGGGATGGAGATCAAGCAGAACCTCGCGGCTGGAGAAGTATCGCTGCGACAGTCCAAGTTCGCGCAGACCATCCTGACCAAATTCGGCATGCAGGACAGCAAACCTGTGAAGACTCCACAAGACCCTGGACTCAAGTTGACGAAGAACATGTGCGAGGGTGGCTGCCACCACGACGAAACCATGGCAGGTGTACCATATCGAAGTGCCGTCGGTTGCCTGATGTACTTGATGGTGGGAACACGCTCGGACCTTGCGGCTGCAGTGGGAGCTCTCAGTCAGTTTGCTTCGGGATCCATGCCCCACGCATTGGCAGGCACTCAAGCGAGTATTCCGGTACATCCAAGGCACAAAGACACACGGCATCGAGTTTCAAGCGAGTGATACGGACGGTCTTCGCGGCTATTCGGATGCAGACTGGGCAGGCAATGTGGAATCTCGACGCAGCACGAGCGGATACGCATTCATGATGAACGGCGGATGTGTGAGTTGGCGCAGCAAGAAGCAACGAACTGTAGCACTATCGTCTACGGAAGCAGAGTACATGGCGTTGTCGGAAGCCACGCAAGAGGCAGTGTGGCTCAAAGCGTTTCTGCGTGAACTCGGCAAGATGGCAAACGATGAAGCTGTCAAGATCTACGAGGACAACCAAGGCTCCATCGCATTGGCCAAGAATCCCGAGTTTCACAAGCGCACCAAGCACATCGACATTCGCTACCACTTCGTGCGCGAGAAGGTGGAAGACGGTCAAGTGGTGCTGGAGTACATTTCGACGAAGGACATGCTGGCAGACATCATGACGAAGCCGATCACAGCCATGCAGTTTGAAGTTCTTCGAAACAAGCTCGGAGTTCAAGCGCCGAAGACTGGCGAGTCGAGTGGGAGTGTTGTCAAGAAGACGCCTCGACCAGCTGCGGAATACCGGCAGATACCGGTATGACCTTCACTCAGTAGTACCGCAATCATTCCTGTGATTATGGGACAATGTTTACGCCACACGTGGGTACAAGATTGTGGGTACATGATGGGATCTACGTGGCACTCGCTGATTGGCTGAAGTAACTCAGTATCCAGTAAAGAATCCAGTAGAGTGTATCCAGTAGGTAGGACAAGAGGCTTAGAGGTAGCAAGTAGCTTGTGAACTAAGGACCTAAATCAATCACTTTGCATTTTGCACCAAACTACGAAAGTGACCTTTTCTTTAGGTTATGAGCCCGGAAGCCCCGCAGACTCTGCCCCCGCCTTCAACTCCGACTTCGCCTACGCCATGGACACCTCCGCTCCGACCCGAATCAACAAGTTCGACGGAACTAACTTCCACACGTGAAAGTTCAAGATGCAGATGGTGCTCGAGGAGCGCGATTTGTGGGAGATCGTGAGTGGAGAGGTGAAGCTGGAGCACTGCGCAACCGTTTTGGAACAAACGGGGTTCAAGAGGAAGTCGCGCAAAGCGCTCGCAATCATCTGTCTCGCAATGGAAGACTCGCAGCTACCATTGGTCCGGTCAGCTAGTGACGCGCATGATGCATGGGTCAAGACTGGAAGGGGGACACTTCGAGAAGAGGAGCCTGGGGCCAACAAGCTCTTCCTTCGTCGACGTTTCTTCACGACGATGATGGACGAAGGTGATGATGTGCTGGAGCACATTAACAAGCTCAAGACTCTGGCGGAGCAGCTCGACGCGGTCGGCGCTCCGGTCAGTGAGGACGACTTGGTGATCACGCTTCTTGGAAGTCTGAGTGAATCGTACCAGTTCCTCATCACGGCGTTGGAGTCGAGAGCTGACACGCTGACATGGGAACTCGTGACGTCTCGGCTATTACATGAAGACATGAAGCGCAAGGAACAAGGTGGCGGTGCCGAAGGAACTGCGCAAGGTCAAGCGTTCATGACTAGTGACAACAAGAAGCGCAGAGGGCGTCCGGAGAAGAAGAAGGGGGTCGGAGCATGCAACTACTGCGGCAAGCAAGGACATTGGATCGCAGAGTGTCCTTCGCGGATCCAAGACAACAACAACAACCGACAGCGGTCACAGCGTGCGAATGTGGCGCGCGAGGACGAGGATGCCGGTGACTATCTCTTCTCGGTTGGTGGTGGGAGCAGCGCCCCACCACCAAGCGGCATCGACTATGACGAGACGTTTGCACCAGTGGCCAAGTTCACATCGATCCGAATCGTGCTCAGTTTAGCTGCGAAGTACGGACTCAAGTTGCACCAG